CCCATTGAAGAGATTATTAGAAGAGTCGAATCGGGAGGACACCAATATCCTAATACTGCGAAGGCCCAAATGTTTATCAATAGATTGTGTCCTGAACTCTATATGGCAGTGTCTTCATTAACCCCTAATATGTTAGAAGATGCCTACGCTAGAGCAAAAGCCTTTGAAAATACGTATAGGAATAATCCGACGCATATGGCTTTTATGGCCCAACCTATAGGATATTCAACATATTTACCACAGGGAATGGTTGGTACTCCAGTTGCCCCTCAAACGAACTATAATAAAACGGAAGAGGCTTTACTTAAGCTAACAGAGGCCATCAATAAAATGATGACTCAGTATCAAGATCAAAGAAGACCCCAGCGACCATGACAGGGCAGTCCTAACACGAATCTAGAGATAATTTGTTTTACTTGCGGACGACCTGGACATATTAGTCAGCAGTGTCCTAATTCCCAGAATAATAATAACAATAATCCCAATCCACCTGTTCAACAACCACCTGTAAATAATACAAACAACACAAACGCCCAAGAGACCTTACAGGCTTTGTTCGCATTGTTGAATAATCCAACCCCCAATGGTCCCCAAAATAACCAGCCTACATATTTAGGGATTCATGAGGAAGATGAGCCCCTATTTCTTCCAGCAGAACGACATGAACGGAAAAGGCCCATCACGAATACTGTGTTATTGCCGAAAAAGAAAAATGTCGAAGGAAGAGAGGATACCGTAGGGTTAGGCAAAACTGAAGAGATTCCACCTCAAGATGCCGATATGGATAATAGGAACGAGATTGAGGACTTAGATGATGATGTTCAAGAAATAATTCACGAGTTTATTAAGGAGAAAAAGAAAGAGAATGAGGACGACAAAGTCTCCAAGTTTCAACAGAAGAAGAATGTTGGACTAAGATGGAAAGTTATTGAAGAAGAGTTGCCCCAAATTTCCTCTTTGGTCCCTCCATATTCAATTGTCGCCGATATTAGGGATAAACCAGCTAATATCACTTATGGACAATTATTAAGGGTGTCTCAAAATATGCGCCAGGAATTAGCTCGTTCCTTACAGAAGAAGAGAACCGTCACAAGAAAGTAGGTCCAGGGTAATATTAATTTACAGCCCACCCTGAAATCAACGGCCTTGTATTGCGACGCCAGGATCCATGATAAGGATATTCCACTAATAGTAGATAGTGGATCCTCAGGAAGCGTCGTCACTTCACACCTGTTACAAGAATTGGGCATAAGGATTGAGCACCCATCAGTAGTGAATATGATTAATATTCATGGAGAAAGTAAACGTGCGATAGGGGAAATTTCTAACTTCCCTTTTTCTGTGAGTGGAATAGAAATCTCCATCGACGTTATCGTTACTGACGCCACCTCTTACTGTGCCATTGTTGGTAATGATTGGCTTGCTAAAGTTAATGCCGCCATCAACTGGAACTCATCCGATATGACTATCTATTGGGATGGTAAAGAGATTACGGTGCCAGTTGAGTTTCGGAAGATGACAAGAGCCCCGTTAGAAAAAGAAAGGACGGTGGTAGTTAAAGAAATAATAGACGAAAATAAGAAAGATGATCAGGAAGAAGTAGATGATGAATATGAAGAAGAAGAATTGGAGGAATTGATTTATGCGTTATCTGAATTCGACAAAGGGGACGATAATACTGGATACGATGATGACAGGGTAAGAAAAGGTTGTCATGAAAAGAAACACATAGGTGATAAACGAATGGATCAACCTGGGATTACATGTAATGTTATTCATAAAGAAGATCAACGTATAGCAGATCTTTTTGATTACTGCTATGAAAATGGAACCCCAGCGGAGGTTGAATACCAGATAGGAGAATTGGAAACGGATCAAGAGCAACGATTGACCCAACTCCTTGTAGAGAATGTCGACCTCTGCGCCCAGAATCTAGGAGAACTAGGACGTACAAGTCAAACTTATCATGAGATTCTTACTCATGGCTGTAGGCCAATTAAACAACGTCCTTATAGGTATTCACCAGCTGAAAAGCAATTTCTTAAGGAAAAGATTGCTTCTATGTTAAAAGAAGGCATCATTCGACCTTCTAGTAGTCCTTGGTCATTACCAGTGGTACTCATTAAGCAGAAGGCTCGGAAAATGCGCTTTTGTATAGACTACAGGAAGTTAAACACCGTTACGATTAAGGATAACTACCCTTTACCTAGGGTAGATGAACTTTTGGATGCCTTGAATGGATCGTCATGGTTCACTTCGCTAGATTTAGCCAGTGGATACTGGCAAGTGGAGGTATTAGAAGAAGATCGGGACAAGACAGCTTTCGTTACTCCATATGGGACGTTCGAATTCAATGTTATGCCATTCGGTCTTGCAAACGCCCCTGCAACTTTCCAACGGTTGATGGATAATATTTTCCGTGACATCATTGGAAAAATTGTAGTTGTCTATCTAGACGATCTGAATATTTATTTGGAAATGTTTGAAGAACACTTGAGTCATTTAGAAGAAGTGTTCTATCGTTTAAGGAAGGCTGGAAAAAACTTAAACCCCAAAAATGTTATTTCACAAAGAAACAACTCAAATTTTTAGGGTATGTTGTAATTTTGGAGGGAATTTCTACTGATCAAGATAAAATCCAGGCCGTTCAAGAATTTCCCGTCCCCAAGAATCTTGACAATTAAGGGGATTTTTAGGATTAGCCTCTTATTACAGGCGTTTCATCCCTAAATTCACGAATATTGCTGCTCCCCTTAACGCCTTATTAAAGAAGAATGCCTGATACCAATGGACCCTTGAATGTCAGGGTGCTTTTGAGAAATTAAAAGGAAAACTCATAAGTGCCCCAATATTAGCTTATCCTGACTTCAATCGACCATTTATTCTCTTTACAGACGCATCCGACTTGGCTTTATAAGCTATATTATCACAAGCAGATGAAGAGGCAAAAGAACAGGTAATTGCGTATGCGAGCCGCTCTTTGACAGCAACAGAAAGAAATTATGCTGTCACTGAAAAGGAATGCCTTGCAGTGTTTGGGTGGTCTCTTATTTTTGCATCTATTTGCATGGGACTCATTTTACCCTATACATGGACCATTCAGCGTTGAAATCATTATTTTCGCATCGACTACCCCAAAATCGACTGGCCAGGTGGATCCTGACCTTGCAGAAATACTCGTTTACCACCATCCACAAATCCGGAAAATTTCATTTAAATGCCAATAGTCTATCCCGAATTTAGTATAGAACTCCATTAATTAAGAAACCCCACCCAAATATATCTGGACACCTCTTTCGGAAATCCCTTATTAACACAATGGACTTTTATGGAAATAGAAACGTACACAAATTTTGTTAATTACCTTAGCCAGTCTAAGGTTCCACTGAATAGCACCGAAAATGTAATGAAGCATTTAACCCGTCATTACCTTATTAGAGATGGATTACTATATAAGAATAATCCACGTGACCCATGACAGCCTCTAAGAGTACTAAGACCCTATGAAACAGAGGCTGTATTGCATACAATGCATTCAGACCCTTTAGCAGAACATTTTAGAAAAACTGCTACTTATCAAAGGGTCATGGTTCGTTACTTTTGGCCTCAGATGGGTAACGACGTAAAACGATACGTAGAGTCATGTGACTCTTGCCAACGTAGAGGACGACCGAAAACCCGAGAGCCCCTCCACCTGATTAGAATCGGTCAACCTTTTGATCGAATGGGGATAGATATTGTTGGTCCCTTCCTGTGACCCCGGATGGTAAGAAGTATATTGTTGTAGCCACTGAATATCTTACTAAGTGGCCTGAAGCATGTGCGTTGGAATGGGCGGATGCTGAATCTGTGGCGACGTTCATTTTTGAAGACATCATTTGTCACTATGGAAGCCCCTGTGAATTGTTGTCAGACCAGGGAATTCATTTTTGTAATAAATTAGTGAGTTCCCTATGTAAAAGAATGAAAACCCACTATAGAATGTCGACGGCTTACCATCCCCAGACTAATGGGTTAGTAGAACGATTTAATAGAACTCTCTGTGAAGTTCTAGCCCGCTGTGTGGCACAGTATGACAGAGAATAGGACGAATTTATTCCTGCAGCTTTGTTTGCTTACAGGACGACACGCCACAATACAACCCGATATGAGCCTTTCTATCTTATATATGAACAGGACGCATTACTTCTAGTTGAAACTGTAGTTTCAACATATCCTGCTGAACCCGTTATGAAAATAGATTTTCAGGAGCAAATATTTAGGAGAATCGAAACGTTATTGGGAAACTTGACCCTAGCTAGACAACAAGCGCGAATCAATGTAAGAAACTCTCAGCAGAAACAGAAAGACTACTATGATCGGAGGTATAGAACGGAAACTTACCAGATTGGAGACAAGGTTCTGTTGCACGAAACATCGTACAGTGCTAAGCTTGAAGAATGATTTATGGGACCTTATTACATCCACGACGTATTTGGTAATGGGGCGTACAAATTGAGGACTATCCGTGCCAGTACTGACAAACCAGGATCGATCGAAAAGGTCTTTAAAAAGACTGTGCATGGTAACAGGTTAAAACGATATATTTCACCCCCTGTGAAAGAAGACGTTCGTAATTATAAATATGATCTCTTTTGACCTCAAAAGGTCAAAATCCATTTTCGTCATGGAGTCCTTTTCGATAACTTCAAAGTTCTTGAAAAAAGTGCACCAACTTCGAAGGGATATCAAAGACACCACGATGGTTGAAGTTCGTATTACCAAGGATAGCATTTCGTGCTATAATAAAGAAGGGGAAGCCGTGTCCCTCGATTTTCCTGAAGAAATAACTACTGGGCCCCTTGAGAATGCCAAGATGTCTTTTTACCTCAACGATCTGTGGCGAATGGATACACCTACCCAATCATTAATTGAAGTTGAAGGCGAAACATGGGATGAACAGGTTCTATATTTAAGAAATCATATTCGTAATGAAAAGCTTGATCTGTTGACCCTTCTCCAATGTTATTATTTTATTGGGGAAAGGTTGGCCGAGAAATCCTGGCGAACTGAAGCTAGAAGAAAGATGCGTGTCATCTTTACTGAAAGTGGTTATCGTTACGCGTGGAAGGCGGCTACATGTACATATCGGTTGTTCCATACTAGAGGGGTACATAATTTGTTAACCTCTAGTCACATTTCCGCCTGTGCTCTAGCCAAGTTATCGGACGAGAACTTTGAAGCCTTAGTAGAGGAGGCTCGAGTAGTGAGAGAACGAGAGGTAGAAACGTTGTTGGAAGGCATAACACCCTTCGCGGGAGCTCAGAAGTAAGAAGGAGAGTATGTTACAGTAGTAACGTGAGGAAGGTGTGATGATAAACAGTGCATCGGGCTGTGTGAAACTTAGAATTAGTACAAGCCTTGTCTTTGTAAATAGAATTTTCTAAAATTGTATATACTTACCCTTTTTTAATTGAAGATCATAGCCGAATTTGTATAATCGTACCCAGGTCCTGTAATTGTCTCTAAATAACGAAACCGTGGATCACTGAAACTGAGTAGCGATAGTATAAGCAAGCGAAACTACTAGTTTCAAAGATCCAACGTTCGATTATCGTATCTCCTATTACTTTGTAAAGTATAAAAGCAGGGTCTTCGGGCCTTTAATAAAGTCGTTAGTCTTCGATGTCTTAAATTGGTAGAATAGAAGAATCGAATTCTCCAGTGTTTGAATAGTTTTATTGTTATAATATTATTTGCCTTATAAGAAAATTAAATTATAATCGTTATATTGAAAAATCCGTTAAAATCCCTATTACTTCAAAGTATCGTAATCGTTATACACATAAACTTTTAATTAAGTGCCCCTTTATTAATTACATCAGTGACGTCGTTAAATTGATCCGATAAATTAAAATTTATTACATAAGTGTGACTATCACTTAAATTGATTAGTAACCCGATCCCGCATAAATTAGTTAACCGACCCTGATAAAATTACCGATCCACGTGAACATGCCACCCTACCGATAGTACTATATCACCTTACTAGAAATAACTTTTTATTTAAGTTCACTATTGGAGTTAAATTGGACGAAATCTCGTTATAGCTCTCCCAAACAATAGTAACAATAGGATCAGATTGATTATTTAAGCAATGTTTGATAATATTATCTGGGTTTTGCTTTTTTTCTACCAGAAACTGTTCTAAGGCGTCAATAATTGAATGCAAACCTCTGCCTTTCGAAATTTCTTCATTAAACAAATTATACATTTCTTTAATAATTTCATTATTAAGAAAGTCCTGTGACTTAACTTCTAAATACAATTGGTTAACTTCGTTGGATATTTTGGCAATAACTAATGAATTGTTGTTTTTTTCAGGTTGTCTAGAATTTGACATTTTGATTTTATAATATGACGAATATAGACTTCTCAAATTTAATTCATTGGGATTGCATTGCGTAACGTTAATTTATGCGATAATGTATCACATATGCGTTGTAACACTACATTGTAACGGTAAGTGAATAAAGGTTACTAAATCAATACGTTTAAGACTAAGTTAAAACAAGACTTCTACAATAAAAATCGAATTTTTCCCCTTTAACATACAAAGTCTTTCAAACTTATGCATTATTTCGACATCAATTTCGTTAATCAGTTTTTTGCCCAAGTAAAATCATCAGTGTGTTCGAATAACAGTACATTATTGGCTGCCACGCATCCAATAGCTATATATTATTTATAAAAAGTAACTTATACTGAAAATTTTTGTGCTGAGAAATTGCTTTTTTCATTAGAAAATTTAGTCATTTAGTTCCTTTGAAATTCTCGCTTTAAATTATTACTAGCGTATTTTGCTGTTGGATTACTCGGTTTAATAGCCTAAATGATGTGGTAAGCAATGTCAGGCGGCAGCGTCTGCAGTAGCTATGCAAAAACCTTCGTTACCTAATTTTTGGC